TTAGAATACTATTTTCTATCCTTTACCTTCCTTTATTCTAATAAGGTAGTATCTATCTTAGAGATCTAGCGCTGTGAAGATCTTTGCTCAAGATAATTAATCCTTAAGCTTAGTAATGTTAGGTAGTAGGTATTAATTCTTTACTATAATGTCGTTGAGTTGTCTGTAATCAACACATAGTCAATCTATACCGTCTTTCTTTAGTACAAACATGGTTAGGTATCCTGCTAATAACTTCAATGGTCGTATGTATCCCTTAGCTAGACTCTTGTTGATGTACTCTCTTAGTACCTTGAGCTCTCTTTCTAATAGTTAGTATATGGGCCCGAAAGTCGGTGTCTTTCCTTCCTGTAGGACTATCTCATGGTCCTAGGGTTTGTGTTCTAGTAACGCGGTCTCGTCTACTACTTCCTAAAATAGATGTTCGTAGCCTTTATACTGTTTAGGGAACTTTAGAGTTGCGCTATTCTCCCTTCCTCTCGCTTCGTGATCTGTTGGCCTGGTTTTAGTATCTGCGGAGTGTGGCTTCCTATCCTAGGAACTACCTTTCGAGTACGCTCTCTTCTCGGCGTTATTGCATTGTATGGCAATGTTACTCTTATCTACTATCGAACTCTGCCAATGCGTAGGCTGGCTTGCGGGTGCGTCCGTTCTGCAGCACTTAAATTGAAACACCTTTGACTTCTAGTTAATCTATAGGTTATGTTTCCTAAGCTATAGGAGTCCTAAAATAATGTCGTAGGTAGCTAGTCTAATGACGTCTAGGTTAATCTCCTTCTTATGCTCCTAGATGCTAAGTGTCACTTGTCTAACCTCGTGTGTGATTTCGCTTTTGTTTAGCATTAGTTCGCCATTAGCTACGTGTAGTAGGTAAGGCTATTGTTTCTGTTGTACTACAAGTCTAGCTTAGGTTACTACGTGCGCTAAAACATAGTTCGCCTGTGATCCTAAATCCACTAGTGCCTGCATCCGTGTTTCGTTAAGCTTTGTCTTGAGCTTTATTAATCCTAGGGGTTCTAGTATATTAATTTCCCTAAAGGGGCCTTATTGCCCTAGCGCTAGCTTAAAAAAGACTTTTGCTGTTAGTATCTGTAGTAGTCTTTTATAATTGCATGCTTGTTGCATTCGTTGCTAAGGCATATGTACTATTAGTCTTCCCTGCATTCTATTAAGGGGCCGTCTAGGTACTACACTTCGTGTGTGGTTTGCATCTAAATGATGTTTTAGCAGTCCGTTCTACTAGGAAAGTGCATTTTTTTACGCTTGTCCCACAAATGTGATAGGCAGCTGTCATCCTTGCAGTCGTACTATAGCCACTTGCACTTGGGCATGCCCATGGCGTGCTTTAGGCTCCATCCAGCTCCTCTCTTGTCTAAGTAGTGAGTGGGGCAGTAGTCGTGCGTGCACGCAGTCCATGATAGGCTAGTGTGGTTCTTGTTCTTTGCGTTATACTAGTACTATACAGGTTCGCAGGAGTTGTTCTATCTTTGCGTTCCTTATACTCGTGTTACCCCTTAGGGTGTAAGTCCCTATTCTAACCTTTTAATGTTAGCTATAATGTGTGCGTATATAAGTAGGCGCTGTGTTGTTTAGATTTAGTAGTAGTTAATGTCTAACTATAGGTGCTATAGTTAACAATATATATTAAGCAGCGTTGTGTTGTTGTTTTCCTTATAGGCCTGGTTAGGTTGTCTAAGAAGTGTGGTTAGCGTATTAATCTATTTTCCTACTTCTCCGTGGTCGTCTCGTGGGTGGGTCTTGGGTGGATCTGGTATAGTGCTGTCTTGCCTCTTTACATAGGGCGTTAATAGTCTATTTACTTCCTAGAATCGTGCCATCTTTTCGTGTTTTGTTGCGAGGGGTTGTTCTTCCTCGTTAGGCGTCTTATATTCCTTGTCGCTAACTAGCTTAGCTTTAGATGTGTTCTTAGACGTGGTTAGGGTTAGGTCTTCTAATCCACTAATAACTTCCGTGTCGTCTAGGTGATACTTAATTTCTAGTTAGGTAATAACGTTCTATAATTCGTTGTCGTCTAACTCTAACTTCCTGCGTAGGACGTTAAGCTGTCGCTTAACCTTATTCTTGCTTATGCAATTGCGTGCTATGTGGCCTTCCTTGCCACATGCGTAGTAGTTAGTCTTTTTCTTCTTGTTATCCTTATCTTTCTTATAGTGCGGCTTACTAGGTCCCTTTCTATAGTTAATATTATTAAGGTGCATAGGTTTATACCTATTAGTTGCATATGCACTAGGTGTCCTAGGCTAATAGCTCCTTTATCGCCCCTAGTTAGGCTAAGAACGTTACTAGTATTATTGTTAAGGCTAATTGTTCTTATTGTTGTTGTTGCGCGTTCCTTAATTAAATAGTCGTTTTTCAAATGCGAGCTTATAAAGCTTATTGTTAAGTTAGATAGCCTCTACTATAAGTTCGTTAAGGTTAGTAACGTTAGCTCTACTTCTTATAAGTTCTCTACGCACTATTAGCTTAAGGCCCTAGCGATACATGCGCATAAGAGCGTTGTCGTCCTATTTAATGTTCGTGGCGTATTGTTAAAACTAGGTCGTGTAGTTAGCTGTAGACCTAGTTTGGCGTAGGGTCTAAATCTTTTATTTAGCGATTAGGGATTCCTTAAAGGGTAAGAAGTTTTGTCGCATCCTAGTCTTAAAAGCGTCCTAATCTTTAACTAGGGTGGTGTTGTTGGCGTTAGTGATAGAGTTATCTATGTAACGTTTGATGATTAGGTTAGCCTATTTTTCTATGTCACCTTAAAGGTACGTAGTAGCTAAGACAACCTTATTATTATTCTTAATTTTATCTCTAGCTAGGTAGAAGTAATAGTTAACCTAGAGGAGCTAAGCTTTGAGCTTGTTGCGGTCGCTATAGTAAAGGTTAGGCTTATAGGCGTTGACTGTAGTTCCTCTAGTCTAGAAAGCGGTTAGGGTGTCTATTGCAATATCGCTTATCGTGAGGGTGTTTAAAGTGTTAAGAGTATAGATTAAGTAGAAGTAATATAAGACTTCTAGTATTAATCTTCTTGTTAGTTAGTTTTCGCAGATAGAGTAGCAGTGTGTAAGAGGACAGTTACTTTAGGCAAGTAGAATAACTCTCTATATTATACTTGTACTTAAAACTTAAGTTAAACACATTAAGCTATAAGGGCTTAATGCCTAATGCTATATACTTGTGTAGTCCTAGTGTCCTAGTAGTCCTAGTAGTAATAAGGGGTTGTAGGACTACGGGGATTGGTAGGACTAGTCACGTGGTCCTAGTAAGTCCTAGTGCATGAAGCATGCTAAGGCTAAGTAGGATCTATAGGACTCGTCACGTGATTCCTTTTCTTGCTGCATTCCCGCCGTCTCTTAGATTACCTGTAAAATAAATCTAACGGCGAAATGTCCTCCACATTCTAAGGCTGGTCGTAACATAGCCTAAGAACAATATACTATAGGAAATAACCAATTAGTTTACAATAGTGAACTAGAAGGTATTACCCTAGGGCTAGAAAAAGCAATAAAGCTAGTAGAGAACTATTTAGATATAAAAGTCTATGCAGATAATTAAGCTGCTCTACTTAGGTTAAAGACTGCTTTTAATAATCTAGGCTAAGAATGGCAAATTAGATGTATAAAGGCAACAAAGAAACTAGAGGAGATAGGTATACGCCCTAGCCTTTACTGGGTACTAGGCCACTAAGATATCTCTAGGAACGAAAAAGCAGACGCCCTAGCTAAAGAAGCTACTAAGCTAGACCCTTCTTCTACTAGCAAAACTAGCCTAGCTATTACTAGCTCGCGAATTAAGCAGCTAGGAGAGAGAGAATGGCTAAGCTAACTTGAATAGTATAGGAAAAAAGCCACTAGCAAGAATCCACATACGTACGCAGCAAAATATAAGTGGAAGATAAGAAAGCAAATCGCTATTCCTAGCAATACTAGAAGAGAGATTTCTAGCGCTTTCTACTAACTTAAACTAGGGCATTGTTACCTAAGGGACTACCTATATAAGAGAGGGAAAGTGGATTCTAATAGTTGCCCCTGCAACTATAGGTCTATACAAGACCTACCTTATATTCTATTTAGATGTAATCTATATAGAAAGAAAAGGAAAGGACTAAGAGAAGCCTATAAAGGCGATCTATCACTACCTATCCTCTTTTAAACAAAAGAGGGTATAGAAGTAACTATTACCTTTATTTAAGAAACAAAGGCTAGAACACAAGCCTGGTACAAAGGAAACACAGAAAACGAGGAGTAATACCTGTAACAGGTAGCCATACACCTCCCCCACCCTATCCCACCCCCTACCTACTAACTAATAGGCTACGAGCCTCACCTTCATCTAGTTAAAACCCCTCCTAAATATCGTAGCTAGAAATAACCTACTTAGATACTTGTAGGCCTAAAAACCCTACACGTCTTATATAGCCCTTCGGGCTGAACAAGGACGTTAAACTAGAATAACTAATAATAATAATAATAATAAAACACGCGTGGAACAATTGTTTCCCCCCACCCCCACCCCCACCCACAGGCATTCCACGCGCTCCGCGGCCCGCACTCTCCACGCGAGCACATCGTCTCGGCCTGAAAAAGGGAAAGTCTACTATACATAGCGACGGGAGAACAAGAGTGGGGGGGGGGATTGTATATTGCTATTGCTGTCGTGGCATTTGGCACTTGGAAGCGAGAGTTGGGGGGGTGGGGAAGGGGGTTAACCATGGGGATTTGATTGGGGCGAATTTTTGCAATTTCGCATGACGTTGGGGGAGGGGGAGGGGCTCTGCAGCCGCAGCATGCAAGCTTACATCGATAGTACGTAGGCTATTAAGGAGTGCATGCATGGCAACGACTGATTGATTAACTGTTGGTCGAAGCGCCGCACGCACCCCTCCGACAACGACAACGACAACGACATCGCTTCACTTTGCCTTTTGAACGACGAACGCGGAGAGAAGCAAGAGATAGGAAAGCGAAGAGAGGATAACAACAAGAGCTACAGCAATGGCAGCGCCCAAGACGGTTCGATGGGGCATCCTCGCCACGGGAGGCATTGCTCTCACCTTGTAAGCTACCCCGCCATTTCCTTTTGATTCTACCCCGCCGCCGTTGTCACCACGACTACATGCGAAAGCTGTACGCTAACAATGGGGAATTGCACAGCACAAAGGATATGCTATGCGATCCGACGACGCGCGGCGTAACGCATCTCAAGCACACCGTGGTGGCGGCGGCGTCGTCGACGTCCGAGGCACGCGCAAAGGAGTTTCTGAAGGAGGTTGGCGCACCGGCCGAAGCAAAGGCATACGGGTCGTACGCCGAGTTTGTCAAGGATGCCGACATTGATATTGTGTACATTGCGACGCCCCACTCGCACCACTACCAGAATGCCATGCTGTGCTTGGAGGCGGGCAAGAATGTGCTGTGCGAGAAGGCGTTTACCGTGAACGCGGCACAGGCGCGCAAGCTGGTCGAGGTGGCTAGGTCCAAGAACCTTTTCCTCATGGAGGCGGTATGGACGCGCTACTTCCCGCTGTCGATATATGTCCGCGAGCAGATTACGGCGGGACGCATTGGGCCGGTCGCGCGCGTGCTTTCGGACAACAGCATGGCGCTTGACCCAGAGAACAGCTTCCCCGATGGCAAGAACCGCATGGTTAACCCAGATCTGGCTGGTGGCGCTCTGCTCGATCTCGGCATCTACTCACTGACCTGGGTCTTTCAGACCCTGTACCACACTCAGCCCGAGAGCACACGCCAGCCACCCCAGCTCCAGGCCTTTGTCAAGAACTACGAGCCCACAGGTCAGGCCGCCGATGAGCACACGACCATGATGCTTCGGTTCCCGCGCTCAAAGGAGCAGGGCGGCGAGGCTCATGCCGTAGCCACGACGTCTCTCCGTGTCGCCACCTCGCCGGGAGGAAACATGGATTCCCCGTTTGTGCGCATCCAAGGACCCAAGGGCGAGATCCAAGTCTTTGGCCACTCATTCCGTCCCAAGTCGGTCAAGATTATCGACGAGGACGGCAAAGTCGAGACCAAGGAATTCCCCTTTCCCGGCCCAGGTAAGGGAAGCGGCTGGTACAACGGCTTTGGCGACTCACTGAACTCAGAAGGAGAGGGTCACGGCATGTTCTGGGAAGCCGACGAGGCTGCGGATGCCATTATCAACGGCAGGAAGGAGGGCAGGTATCTCGGCCTGGATGAGAGTGTGTTGATTATGGACATTATGGATCAGGTCAGGAAACAGGGCGGCCTCGCGTTCCCGGAAAAGATTGAGACGCTGGAGTATCCTACGCAGCTGTAAATGCAGTCAGCTGAAAGAATGCACAAAGGTTTCTGGCTTTGGGCCGCACAAGCTCGTCCGAAATGCAGGACGAACAAGGTGGCGGCCATGTCGTCTCACGTTAGTGTGCATGTCGTCTCAAGTTAGTGTCCATGTAGGAGAAATGAGGGCGCCGGGATGTGCACTGGAAAAGGATAGAGGGTCGGAGGCAAGATTGTGGTGTTGGGGTGGTGCGAGCATGTCAGCTTAGCAAGCCTACCGTCATGCACTCTCACGTTGCTCTGGCCACGCCGTTTTTCGTATTGCCTCATTGGACCCCTGCCGTCTGCCCCTGCGCCATACATATTTCCAAATTCAGCCTCCACTTCCCGAAGCGTTTGGCGGCTTGTTTCCGAGGCTGTCATCCCGCTAATGCCAGTGATCGTCCACGGTGCAGCAATGGCTTTTTCGCAACAATGAGATTGCTGGGATGAGAAAAGGGCGGGACAGGGCAGAAGCCAGGCTCAGGGCTAGGCACGTCTGGCAATGACGTCGTGCTGCTCGGTCAGATCCGACATGCAGCAACCAGATCAGATACTGGGTCGCTATCCGATGGGCGCCTAGCAGCCGTGGACTCGTCGTGTGCCGATCTTGATCGTGGCAGGAAAGCCAGGGCACGAGATACGTGTCAGCCACTGCAAATCTTTGCCCAGTAACGGTCGAGGCACGGGTGCTACGCGCTTCTCGACTTGCGCGGCACGCGGGAGGCGTACCGGGCCAAGAAGCATTTGGGTGGACTGTTTTCGGGCCTTTGGTGTATGAACATGGTCCAGACCAAGCGACGATCGCTGAGAGATAGGGCCCCCCCTCCCCGGCGTACCGGTATGGGGTACGCCCAAGTGTGCCGTTGGGACCAAGATTTTTTTTTTCGTACGTAGCAGCCAGCCAGCCTGAAGAAAATTCGAGGCGGCATGTGGGATGGCGGTGGGGGGTGGGGCCCTGTTTGCGAGTGTGGGTGCAGTACGGGGGGCGGCATGCACATGTGGCATGCACATGGGACACGGGGACCGTGTCTCTGGCGCTCGAGACGAGCAGGATGGTGAAGCTTCGAGAAGAGGGTGAGTGTGTCTTGCATGCATGTTTCACGGTGACGGCGGATGGGATGTGACTAGCGTAGGGTAGAGCCGGCATGATGCAAGTGCAAGAGTCGGCGTGCCGCTCCAGCTACACCCAGAGCAGGTGTACATAGGCGTGGATGCGGTAGACATACATAGTGTAAGTATAGCTAGTGTACACCTAGGCGTGGGCGTAAGCGACGGAAGAGCACAGCATGTCGCGTGTGGAGCGGGAGCCGTGGCCTGCGCCAGGGTCAGGGGCAGGGTGGAAAGGGATGGACTGGAGGCGAACCGTGGACGGCGACGATGTGGTGGTGGTAGTGGTGGCAGTGGTGGCAGTGGTGGTGCCGACAAGGGAAAAAATGGCGATGAGCGTTGAGAGGGACGGAGAATGCCGGGGGGGCTAGCCTGTTTGGGGGGTGGGGGTCTAGCCGTTCTGGGCGCCGGGGGGGGTTGGTGGTGCAGCGATGATGTAGCGGGAGGCTGGGCGAGGGCCGAGTCAGCGGCGGCGATGGCATCGGGCGTGCGGGGCCTGGCGTCGAGTCATGGCGGTGCAGGCGGGCAGGAGCCAGAGAGCGCGAGAGCGTGAGCATGAGTGTGAGTGTGAGCGCGCAGAGAGCTGAGGACGAAAGGGGTCGTGGCCGCGTTCCCCGCATCGGACGGTGGCGCAACGCGACTCTGGGCCCAACGCGTGCCCCGAGCTGCCAACCAAGGCGCGGCTGCGAGCCAGGGGACGCACTCGCAGCTCGGATTCTGAGGCTGGCGTGTATACACCACACACCACACCACACCACACCGGGCTGCAGCGCGGCGCGGCGTGCTAGCGGGAGCAGGTGTCGCAGCACGAGGGCGCGGCGACACGGGCGGCAGCATGCAGCCTGGGGCCAGCGGCGGCGGCGGCGGCGGCGGCGAGGGGGCCCAGCGGCGAGGGGGGGGGGGCGCGCGGCCGAGCAGAGGCCCACCAGGGGGGAGACGATGGTGATTCAATTACCGGCGGGCCGGGCTGGAGCGCAGGAGCGCAGCTGCACTTGGACTTGATAGAGAGTCCCTGCACCACCATCGCAGAAGTTCGGCGCAATCGCTTTCGCATCTCGTGCTGCCAGCCATAGGTTCAATGAGTTCGCAGCGCGGTCGCTCCCGGTGCACCATGCTTCTTCTTCCTGCGCCGTGAACCCGCCCGCACTCACCCGCCCTCGCCCATGTCCACCTCGACACCCGCGCCGACGACCAGCTCGCGCCGTGTACCGCTCGACAAACGCAAGCGCACCGAGACGAGCTGCGACAAGTGCAAGTCGCGCAAGCAGAAATGTCGCAAGGAGCCCGGCCAGGATGCCTGCCGCTACTGCATGGTGCACAACATCGAGTGCCTGACGACGCAGCCGCGGAAGAAGCGCCTGTACGGTAGCGTCGAGGGCCTGGGCACCCGCCTGGCGCTGCTCGAGGCGCTCGTCAAAGGCCTGCTGCCCGATGCCGACGTGTCGAGTACAGATGCCCTGCGACAGCTGGCCACGTCGCACGGCATCCCGCTGCCCACGGCCGCCGTCGCCGATGCCGCTGCCCACGACGACGCCGCTCGCGACGCCGCCGACGACGACGACACCGTGTCGCTGCTGCCGGACCAGCAGGGCCAGGTGCAGTACATTGGGCCCGGCAGCTCCTTTGCCTTCCACCTCAAGCTGCGCACGCTGGTCGGCCGCGGCCCTCTGCGCGAGTTTGTGCTGTTTGGCAAGAACGCCGCCGCCTCGACGTCACCAGAGAGAGGCGACGACCACCAGCGCGCCTTTCCCGGCACCGCCGCCGCCAACAGCCACGGCCACAGCCACGGCCACAGCCACAATATCAATAGCAACAGCAACAGCAACAACAACAACACCAACCACCCGTCCATCGCCGCTTCCGCTTCCGCCGCCGCCGCCGCCGCTTCCGCCTCCCCCGTCCACTGCCATGCCTCGTCGCCTGTTGCCGCGGGCCCCGCCGGCCTCCCCACGCCCCTCGACCGCCCGACCCTCGAGTTCCTGATCCGCGCCTACTTCGACCACATCCACCCCGAGACGCCCGTCCTCCACGAGCCCTCGTTCCGCGAGGCCTTTGAGGCCTGGCTCGTCAACCCCCACAATGCCGACCCGGCCTGGCTGTGCTCCTTCAACTGCCTGGTGCTGCTTGCACGCCGCGCCGTGCGCATGCCCTTTACCGAAGAGCAGGAGCGCATGTGGTGGCAGCGCGTGCAGAAACTGCTGCCCGGCATCACCTTCATGTCGAGCATCACGGCTGTCCAGGCCCTCATCCTGGCCGCCATACATCTCCACAACCACAACCACCGCGACGCTTGCTGGAACCTGACAGGCACCGCGATCCGCATAGCCCATGCCATTGGCCTGCACCAAGACCGCGTGAGCACCGGCCAGACGCCCCTCGCCCGGGAGATGCGCAGTATGCTGTGGTGGACACTCTGCATGGTGGAGATGATGCAAGTCTCGTCGTACGACCGCCCCAGCGCAATCGAAACATCAATATCAAAGATCCGCTGTCCCAACGAAAAGATACTGGGCACCCCTCCGGGATATCTGGCCGCCTCGACTCGTCTCTTGATCCTACTGGGTGCCACATGTCGTGTGCCCCGGACCCTCAAGCCCAACGACCGCGACGATACGTATGTTGGCCCGCTATCTCCCGCCGCAACTGTGCTTCGCGACCTGGTCCGGTGGAGGGAGACGCTTCCCCAGCACTTGCAGCTGGAAGCCCTAGATACTTGTCCTCCCAACTTCCAGCGGAACCTGCTCATGCTACACTGTACCTACCACTATACCATCATCGTCTTGTGTCGCTCAGCCCAGCTTGCCCGCGCTACTAGCCTGTCCAAGACTGGCCAAGATTCCACAAACGCGGCTCTCATCGCAATGGCAGATGCCTGTTCCGAATCCGGCCGTAAATCCGCCCAGATACTGCTCAAGATTGATGGCCTTGGCAAGTTCAATGCTACGGCTGGATTGGATGTCTGGTACATGCTCGCTTCTAGCTCAGCACTAGTCCTTGATCTTGTCTGTCTGAACAAGCTGGAAGGCACAAACATGTCAGAATCACGCATCCTGCTATCTCAGCTTGCCGATCTTGCCCAGCGGCAACGGCGGAACCCATTTATGCCTGGCACGTATCAAAAATTCGCCTCGCTCGTCCCAGAGCTGCATTCCATGGCCGACTCATTGGCTTCACCCGTCCGATTCGCCGAACTCAAAGTGGAAACCCAGGAGCCCGGACCACAAACTACACTCCCATCCCAGCAGCTATCGCAGCCCGATGCTGTGCCACACATGTACCACCAATCACCAGCCGCCGCTACGGGCTCCTACATGTTTGCCGACCATCTGCAAGGCCGCATCTATCCAGAACAGCCATTTGTGACTCCAGCCATGCACCCCAATGCTCGTTTCGAACGAACGGCTCAGATGCACTTTATGGATTTTACTGTCAACAATATGAATGACTGGAGTTGGAATGATATGAATGGTCTACTTGGCACCGACAGCCTGACCGCTATGCATGGAGATCCAAATGTACATGGACAGCAGCCTTCTGGTCCCAACTAAGCGTCTATGAAATGCAGCTCGAGAAGGAAACCCAACAGAATGCACAGGTGCGTTACAAAATAACAAAGGTTGTGGTTGACTGAGTTGCGGAATGCCAAGTCGTACTTGTGCTTGGTCTTGTTCGGACTCTGCGCTGTGAAGTCGGCATTTAACTGACGGCCACCCGAAGAAGAAGAAGAAGAAAAGAAAGAAAACGAAAAACAACAAAATACTTCCATAATCCTACCTTTTCCTAGAAGTCACGTTGATATGGCAGTTTGAGATATCCCTGGGTCGAAATTTAATACCAATTCAACTTTATCGCAATCCCTGTCCCCTGTTCCGTCTCTCCAACCTGCACTAAATCCGGACTCCATTCTTTTCTATTGTTAGTGGGATTGTCATGCACTGACATGAGGCTAAGACCAAGCCCTTGATGACATTCCTTTGTGTTACGTTATTACAACGACTAGGTGACCCACTTGATGACGCTGACGCCTCTATACAGTATAGTATACCATGCTATACCATACCACTAGCTTACAATGCTTTGCTTAGCGTATACACTATATCGACTCTTTCTTACTACATGTATGCATGGCGAATCTCATGTATTGGGAAGGAAAGGAAAAGAACGGGAATGGGGGACTGAATAGGGATAAGGATGTGATGGTGGGGACTTGGTTGTATGTGCTCATGGGTAAGAGGCAGCCAGTGTGCTTACCACGGAATATGCCGTGTTATGTTAGTGCTATGGAGCCAAGCAGCGAGACATGTATACAAGAGATTTGTTGCGGTAATCGGGGTGGCTGAAACTAACCGTTGATACACTGGACTTTGATACCCTTTTCCGTGAGTTGAACATACCAGGTACGTACAAACCTTTAAGATGCATGCGCCAATGTATCAAGTGAGATCTCTGCTTATACTTGCATCACACTGGCGTGTCTTTCCTCAACTCCATTTCAGTCACCCTTTTCCACCAAAGCGCCCCACGATTCTTTCTGCTCTTTGCAGAACCCGTCGTCAAGGATACTGCGGAACACGACCTGTGCTTCTATCAACCTTGTGCCACTTTCAGCTGCGTCGTCGTCGCCATTGTCATTATGTTTCTCCAGTTCATCGAGTAAAACGCTACCACTACCTTCTAGATCATCAATGCGTTCCAAAGCTAGACCTAGCGCCTCGCGCAGCGCAGTCTCAGCATCAGTGACTGGATGCGTAGATGTTGCCACTGCGGTGCTGCCCTTCAAACTACATATCCGCAGCAGCGCTTTCAGCCTGAGATTCTGCTGCTGCACCTTATCCTTTGACCTATCGCTTCGCCTTAGCCGGACGATTGTGCACTTGGCGTCGTTGAGATCCGCTATAAGCTTCTCGTGCTTTGTCTTGAAACGCGTGACTTGGGAATACAGTTTTGCAGTGCTTTTTGTAGTCGCTTTGCATTCGGCCTGCAGCTTGAGACTGCGCTCCAGGATCGAGCTGAGCATACGCGCTTGCTCTTGTAGGCTTTGGTATGTGCTTTCGAGGTCTTGCGCTCGCTCCGCGGCTAGTGTGCGCCAGGTGTCGCGGTCGCGGCGCAGGCGACTGGCAACGGATTGGGCCAGCGATAGTTCGCTTAGGAGACTGTGCTTGGAAGTGGGTGGCAGAAGAGACGTTTTTGGAGTTGGCGAAGAATGGTGCTCGGATTCGCGCACTGAGGGGTCGATGGGCGCGGAAACATGGCGGGCAATTGACCTTAATAGTCGCGACTTGGGGTATGCTGGAGATAGAGGAGGTGGGTTGGGTGGATTAGAAGCCATAGTTTTTGGAGTCTTGAATTGTATCTGGATGGTTGAACCGGGTGAGCTGGATGGGTGTTGTAGGTGATCGAGCGAGGATAGACGAAGCATCATCAATATAGAAGACATGCCAGATTGTACAATGTGAAAGCTCTGTAGAGGCGCGCTCACGTGACTGCAGTGAGAATACAGGCCGTTTGTCGAAACAAGAGGTGAAGGCTCATGTCTCGGACGGTCACGTGTTGGCGTGAAATCGATACGATATCGAGATTCACTGGAACAAATCCTGAGAAAAAAACAAGGCAAATATGAAACATGGGGTATAAGGAGAATTGAGGAAGAAAACATAGTCATTAAAATAGTACGGGTATACCAACTTGGTCGTGATACTCAAACCAGTCATCTACAAGGCCATGGCTACTGCAAGGGCACCTGCCACGCCTCCAACAAGCTTCATTGCCCCTGTGGGCAGAGCCCCCGCAGGAGCCGCACCCTTGCTTGGTGTAGGAGTGGGAGAGTCCTTGGACTCTGATTTCGATGGTGCGCTCGCACTGGCGCCGGACGCGGTTGGTGTCGCTGAAGGAGTCGCTGAAGCCGAAGCCGAAGCCGGTGACGACGCGCCGGATCCGCTCACCAGAGATACCACTTGAAATGCCTCCATATCCTGGATCTCGCTTTGCGAAAGTACACTGGTTGTGGCAACCCGCGCACTCTGTGACGGGACGTATCCGCTTTGCGTCACGTCGCACGTGAAATCCGCTTTTGTCATTTCGCCCTTCCAGCTACAGGCCATGTCGACTGGCCAGGCGCCGGGAACGGGGTCGGTGAGGTGGAACTCGTATGTCTGTGCTCCTTGCTTGATCGTGTAGGGCTCGCAAAATGAGTAGTCGTCGTCAGAGGCACCGTCTTGGCGCCGCATACGAGACTTGGGTGTGGGTGCAGGCGTGGCCGACGCGTCGTCTGGACCTGGGCCTGGAAAGTCTCAATACAGTTACTGTTAAGGAGAGGTGGATGCTACATACGCAGATTGGATGGCACGGCAGAAATGCCAGCGGCACTTGACGGGCAACTGTGCTCGTAGGTAGTTGCAGTTGCGTCTGAGCCCAGCATAGTAAGAGTGCTGTCGAACTGGAAGAAATTGAGCACCGTAGCAGATTTCTGCGCAATGGCAGCACCTGCAAACAGCGTGGCGATTTTGTAAGAATGCATGGTGAAGAACTCAATAAGTAATGAATGCGATGCGGCAGCAGAATGAAAATATATATCTAGAGACGCTGCGAAGCACACATGTATGTCTCATGTAGCTTTATAGCAATCCCCAAAAAATTTAAACCAAGAGTCATAGTGACTATGCAAAAGCCACACAGTCTATTTAGGTTCCAAATGACGAGTCACGATGTTGCTGTCCCTTGCATTGGTGATGATGCATCAGCAAATACGGGCGGCTGCATGAAGGCGCCTTACTGCTTTTGTTGCTTGATAATCCCAGGGGGTGGCGGATCGCTTAGCACAAACTGCGAGGGAATGGTGCAAAATATATTACGACAACATGGATGGAGTCTTGGCGGTTACAGAGATGGGTTGCCTGAGCTTGTAGGCGGCAGGACTGTGAGGCTGTGATGGTGTTGAGTGGTGGTAGGCGGCTTCGTGATTGTATGCTGTGTGCTGGGTTAAAAGCCTTCTTGATCGCTGTGGGTTAACCTGCATGGACGCGCAATGACCCACCCCACCAAAAAACCTATTGCAAAAGATGAGGCTGTACAGCCACCTACAGTCGCTATTATCACGAGATTTCATGGTGTTGTAGTAATTATAGCATTGTGATCATAATAGGCTACTTGTATCTACTTAGTAGCTTAGTAGTGCGGCCGTGGCGGGTGGTCCGAGTTAGGACGGCTAGTGTAGCTACCTTAGCTTGTACATGAGATGAATTAATAACAACACGTTTCTGACGCTTCTGCTTTTGAGAGGAGCCTTGTGAGGCTTTGCGCTTACCCCTTTAGGATAATTGTATAGCTTTTTCAGCCTCCCGGGCTGCCTTTTGAGCCTCCTTTTGAGCCACCTTGGCGGCTCTCTCCTTCTCTCTCACCTTCTTGAGCCTCTCTCTCTTAACACGCTTCTCCTGGGCTATTTGAAGCTTGTACAATTGAGCTTGTCTCCTTAACTTAGATCTCTCAGCTTTCTAGAGTTGTAATTGCTGTTGTTCTTGTTGTCGTTCCATCTCATCCTCCTTGGCTTAGCGAACCTTCTTAGGAGACTAAAAGACAGCTCCTCTATAGTACTCCTCAGGCCTATTAAGTTGAAGCGTGTAGCTCTTCTTTTGGTGTCTCTTTTTAACCTTTAGAGCCTCCCTTAAGCCCTAGTTTTCTCCTTTAAGTATACTATTTTGAGCTAAGAGGTGATGGAGGCTTCGGCGAAGCTTTTTTACCTCCTTATTATTGAAATCCTTCACCTCCCGGCGTATAATAGACTTAATTTTGAGCCAATCATCTCCACTAAGGACAGAAGAAGAGCTTTCATCTGAACTAGAGGCCTCTTGTTAGAACTTTTAGAGAATAACCTTAGCATTTAGTAGGTTAATGCTAGTTGCCTTAAAGGAGCTTATAATAGTCTCCTTTCTAAAAGCTGTACCCTAAGCCCTCTAAAAGAGCTTAAAGAAGTCTCCTTTTGCTAGAGGAAGGATTCCATGGCTCCAATAGAGGAAGTTTAACAACTCCTTTGAGTAGGCTGACGCTAGAGGCCCAAACATCCTAACGTCAAGAGGCTGAAGCCTATGGGTCGAATGAGGAGGATATACAGCAACTAGAATCCTATGGCTATTGCAATAATCTAGAAAATCCATGGTTACATGAGATAAGTGGCTATCAACAATAAGTAACCAGTACCTAGTTCGAGCGTAGCGTGCAGTCTCTCTTTCAAAGACCTCTTTAAGCCAAGCTAGGCCTATATCATTGTTAGTCCATCTAGAGGGCGATAAGGTAACAAAGACTAAGTGCTTGTTTGGATTAATAGCCTCTACCTAGGCTGATTTTAGAGCTCCAGCATCTGACTAAAAGATGAGAGATGGAGAAAGAGGTGTACCATCTAAGCAGATACAGGCTAGGACTGTAATCCACTCTCTAGAGCCATCTTGTAGGCTTGAAACAACTCCTCCTCTTTCATATTGCCTCTTACTAAAGATCCTTTTAGACCTTCTAAGGATTCTAAGTAAGAAGCCCTTTTTATCTATATTAAAGATGTAAGAGGGCTGTATATTGTACTCCTTCATCTTATTGTGTAACAGCTCAAAGTACAACCTATACTTAGTTGCTAAATCAGCCTTATAACGCTTCTAGTCTATAAGACTCTGCCAGCGAGAGATAAGATAAGAGGAGTTCCTACAGAGGAACCTAGAAACCCAGCGTTCTAAAACGTCTCTACTAAGCAAGGATGACACAAGATGGCATATTATTAGACGCAAAGGTGGTGTACGCCTCTTAGTAAGAGATTCGATGTACTGTATAAGCTCCTTTTCGCGTTATAGGTGGATAGAGAGGTAGGCGAGCGCGCGAGGCTAAGTTTTGCCTTAGTGTCTTCGAGCGAGCGTACGATAGCTAATGCCAAACCTTTTTACAGCTTGGCGATAGCTAAAAGATACGCCTAGTTCGCGCGATTTAATTTCTTTAATCGCTTCCTGAACTAGGTCTATATTAGTAGAGTTATAAGGTATTTTGTGTAGGTGTTAAGTTTAGTGGGGTGGGTCATTGCGCGTCCTGGGTCATTGCGCGTCCATGCAGGTTATCTTAATCGATAAGTAGGCTAATTGTTGTGCGCCAGGTCAATCACCTCTTAGGTCAATCACCATTGAAATTGCTATGCGCAATCTTAATTACTATACCCTACCATATACACTATAGTATATATCGCAGTGAATATAGCCCCGAGCCAAAGGAATTGGACATTCATTAATCTTATCCTCTTCAACAGTATTGTAGTACAGATGGCATGTTGCAGGACCAAAGAAAGATAGGAAACAGGCTTCGACTTGTGATTGTGAGACCACCAAACAGCAATTGAACAAGTAGTATCCGCAAAATCTTACAGTGAGAGTTGGTTGTGCTCTTACCTGTGATAGCTGTCTGATATGTGAGAACTGAAAACTAATCACGTGAGCCACACTACACCACAGTAGATAAAAAGGCATGCAAAAGTTTGCATCTTATGCTACAGGGATATGGTAGAAAATTTCAGTACGAGGAGTTCGAATGGTACCATATATCCTCTGTAGCGAACTTCCTTGTTACTTCTTTCGGGATAGTAACTTGCATGCGCGATGGAGGGGCATCCTCTCATTTTCCATTGGCCTAACGATTGAGTGTATATATAGTACATCTAACCACCAGCTTTTCCATAATCCGATATGGTCTAGTGGCTAGGATTTGCCGCTCTCACTTGCAGAGTCAGTTCACTTGTTTCTCAACAGTGCCGGCAAGGCCCGGGTTCGATTCCCGGTGTCGGAAACTCTCTTTTTGCCATTATTCTGGCATAGGAATCGTTCTTTTTGCCATTTGTCTGGGATCAAAAAGGTCTTTTGCGACATGATAAGGTTGGCGTTCTTTTTGTCTGCGGGTATAGCCGCCGCTGTATGTATTGTTCACCGTAGATTATTACACGAATCAATCGCAGATATACCAGAAGTTTACTCTATTGCTAAAAGTAACAAGGCAATCATGGAGAGAAAATTAAACTATGAAGCGACACCGACAACCTGACACATAAAGAATAGCGCCTAAAACACTATCCAAGCCCGACTTGATCCGACCTACCCCATCACCGGGGTATCTGCCCTCTCTGGAGTCAAATCGGCTATCAGTGCTAGTCCCAAAAGCTTCATGCCATTCTCCAGTACAATAGCAGTAGCTTTGTAAAGTGCAGCAAGTCCTGGGGCGATGCCCGCATCTTCTCTCTCGGCATCCTCTGCAAGGCACCCAGCCAGCTGCTCAGTCACACTGGTGAGATACGTGACGATACCAGCCGGCTCGAGTGAGCTATAGGTCGCCTTTACAACCTCCGGGTACTGGGCTAGGACACGCAAAAGGTTTGCTCGGTCCTCGTCAGCCAAAGTTTCGTATTCGTCGTCCGATGGTTCGGCTGCAATATAGTCTTTGAGGAGAAGACGGAGCTTGGTCAGCCAGTACTGCAGGTCTGGCCCTGATCCGAGTTTGAAAGTGCCCATTGCGCCAGTGTCAAAGGCATGAGCAGTGACCAGGCGGGTAGAGAGTTCTTGGATCAGAAGCGCAGACGTTGCAAGGCCCTCTTTGGCCCCTTCCAGTCCACCTATTAAACCGAGTTTGTCTGCGTCGGCCCCAGACAAGCCTTTCATCGCTTCCTCACACGCATCCAGAATACGCTGAGGCTTGTAGCCTCTGCCGAGTGCGCCCGCCATCCTCGAAGTTTCACTGAATTTTACATGATGGAGCTTGCCTGCAAGATCCTTCATGTCCAGGGCCTCCAACACCTTAATAAGCTGGGTAAAATGCATGCTGTTATCGTTGGCCACAACATAAATCATCTTACCAAAAGAGTACTTCCTTGACCTTTCCAAGACAGCGGCAAGATCGCGGAGAAGATACGTGCTGCTTCCAGTGCGGTCGCGGATAATGGCAGTCCCAGCCTTTGCCCCGAGGTTCTGCATGTGAACGATCCACGCTCCTCCACTTTCTTCTGAAATATTCCTCTCCTTCAACATCTGTTCGACCTCAATCATGGTTTCTTGGCCAATCTGTGACTCGCCACTGTACTCATCGAAACGGATGCCAAGCCGCTCATAGAACCTCGTGTAATCATCAATGTTGACATTCCGTACCCGTGTCCAGAACGCCACGAGTGCTTCATCGCCCTCCTCGAGCTTCTTAAAGGCTTCATTGCGCTCGGCAAAGATGCCCTTGCTTTCAATCTCAACTTGCGCCTCGCCTTTGTCTTCACCTTCTTTGGCTACCTCATCGCGGGCCTGCCTGCTTGCGGCTTGCTCGGGCTTAAAGTCTTCTTCAATCTTGTGGTAGACTTCCAGGAGGTGTCCAACAGGGTCGGCTTCATATGCGTCCTCGGAACCGTACTTTGTCCATCCAACGTAGAGTAAAGCGATCGGCTTACCCCAGTCACCGAGGTAATTGATGCGTGTCACATCCCAACCCATTGACTCATATAGACGGCCGATGAAGGCGCCGATAATCGTACTGCGCAGGTGCTTTCCCTGGAACTCACTTGTAATATTCGGCGACGAAAATTCGAGTACGAGCTTCTGGCGCGCATTGCTCGTTGTGTGGGTAGAGACGCTGCCGTAATTGCATCCAAGGGTTGAAATGTAGGGTATCAAAAGACGCGGTACAGCGTTTGGCTTCAATTGGATGCGGAAATGCACACCGTCGGCAAAAGGCAGAAGAAAGAGTGGATCCTCTTTTGGAAACTGGCAAGTCTCAGCCATGTATAATTGACTAACGCTTTCTAGTGAAATATTTCACACCTTTTCTAAAAGCTCAAAGGTTGTTTCCTCAGCTTTTGCACCTGGACGGAGTTTCGGGAGCACTATCGCCAAATCTCCTTTGAAGATATCGTTTGGCCATTGGATTGACTTGTAGGCATCGTCGATATCGCATCCAAGTGCACCAGATAGAATTTCTGCGAGATGTATACGACAAAGATCCAGTGGGTTGGCAGCCGCGTCTGCTATCAGTACAGTTGGCAAAGGGCTGTCCAAATCCAGGAATGCTAGACACTGTTCCAGTGATTCCATATCCAGTTTTCAAATGAATTCTTTTTGACTACAGATGTGTTTATGAAGTCGTTGTTTCTCGGTCACATATGTCTACAAGGCTGAATCCACGTGAATCTTAGCAAGGGTCCCAAAGGAGGTCATCCGACAATTCATGCGTAAGTGTGACAACAACCACGTTCTATCGTGAGGAATTTCTGATTTCTTCACCGGTGAATTTATCTGCCTTAACACAAAAGCATGCCACGTCGATTCATCTGTGGACAGTCGTGGTTTTATATAATTGGCCGTGGACGCCTTCAGCCGCGGGGTGAAGACCATCAATGAGAGTGCGATTCACTACAACACATTGGATATGCGCGAGGTCATATGCTACATGTACATAGAAATCCTCCAGAATTCAATTGAGGCTTAAACTACCGGCTGTGCATTTGCCGGCTTTGCACTCCGATGTGGGGCTTGACGTGTGTTCATCTGAATCCATGAATATGGTTGCACCGTGAGTTTGTGGCGCATGAAGTTGGGTATTGTAACCCGACTCAGGTGGAAGGCTGCAATATGACGACATTGTCAAGAATTACCTATCGTACGAACGAGCGCCACAGTATGACATCGGAAAGTTTATGATTGTGATATAAATAACAAAGCGTATGCGCTAAGCTATTGCGGCTTTGTTCATCCCCTTTGGGCTAGTGGAACGCAAGGCTAGATTTCTGGAGAATCTCCCGGAATCCATTACCTATATCAAGCTAGTTCCGCTTCAATGATGATTCTCCAGATAAAGTGAGGCCGTTCTGGACCGGACTAAGGCGTATTTGGTACCACGCCTTGTGAATTCAACTACTTGTGTTTGTCTCCATAGTGGTTTTCATCTTACAAAACAGTTTTGGATATGTTCCTCTCTTTCTGTTATCTTTCTTCTTATATTCGTACTGTAATCATAGTTCTGCATCGATATTCATCTATCAATCACAGTCTTGGGTTCTCAACATGATCGCATGTTTCTTTAACCTACATATCACTTCATGAAAGGCTAGACACAGGGCCGCATAAGAGCCGATGGTTGAAAATAACCTGATTCAACGTCTTTCCACTGTTTTTTTTTACCGATCACAGCAACTCACCATTATCGTCAACATAGCCTTACCACTCTAAGGGTGCATGTTAACGTCTCCAGGCTCACCGCATCTTGAGCCTGACCCGGGAAGATATTCGGAATATTTTGCCTGATAACCATGAGTGGCGTAATCAATAGGCAAACCGATATGCGCAGAAAAGGCACCTCCATGTGCCTAATCTATGCATGAACATCGTCATGGGTATACCTATCGACGTAAAACGCCACGTGGGTGAGACGTTGGTTATTCATTCTCATGATCAAAGCCACAGAACGTCCTTCACCACCGTTGGAAGATATGGGCACTTGTTGCATTCTGAGAAGAGTTAGAACACGGCGATCGCTTGGTTTCTGTCTTCCTCCATTGGTCGAGAACGTTTGTAAACTCATCTATGCATGTCAGCCTAAGCCTCATTGCGGCCCAACACCACTGGAATACAGCCTTGCTATTTATACCCTATGAAATACTTCTTGGTATGACGAAAATCATCTCTGATTCCGACAGCTGAACTCCGCACCGGGTTGGTATCCGATCCGACATCGGTACGGAGCGCTAGAGGCTGCAAAGTTGTTTGTGCCTGCGATTCCCCACGTGGCCAAAGAAGGCAAGTGAAGTCTTGTGTAATGCATCAACTACACAGCCAAAACGCCTAGAATACGTGTCGCGAATCGTGACCCTAAACTCTTGAGTACGACAGGACCCTCATACCTCTGTATGGATTCCTCGTCGGGCAGTATCGATGAGCATCAGTCAGTCACGAGTCATGTGGCCACGAAGTCGTCCTGTGAGGCTCTACCCAGAAACTTGACAATTAAGTCACGAATTGTTATGTATGTTGCCATATTTTAAAAGGTCAGTAGCACCGTGTATGATCTCGATTCCTTGCGTTTGTTCTTGACGAGGTTTACTTTCCCTGTTCTCTTCTCAGTCACAAGCATATCTTACCCTTATACAAAATATTCTTTCTTGATACAAAATCTTCCAAAGGCTTCGGCTGGGACGACTCTAATCACTTCGATCTTCTCTTCAGGCTGGTAAGTCCCCCCTTTTTTTCGTTCACAGCCTCAATGCAGATATACCACAGCGCATCCCCGATGTTGGGAATTCTTTCTATGAAAACGAGCTGACATTCAAGATCGTTACTTAGCCATTTCATTTGAACATCTCTACATACATGTCAACTCCTTTTTTTGGAGACCCGTTCTCCAAAGAATGGCCCAATATATTTTCACATTCCCGCAAACTGAAGGATGACCAACCACTTGTCGAGACCCTACAAGAACATAATTCATACAACGATGGAGTAAGACTATTCATGCAACCGTACGAACACGACAAGGCATACTTCAACGTTGACACCGTGACTCAGTTCTGTCGCGGTGTCCGTTTAGAAGATCTCAACAATCAATCAAAGTCAAAGAAAGGCACAGCATGGCTGGATGACCGTTCAAGACCTTGCATCCCAGAGCTTGTCCCGAATATTCAAGGCCGTCGACGAATTACTTCCGTAAATCACTCGAGCAATGCTCCAGCGAGACCAGAGACCACTCTTCTCCAGAATTTAAATGTCGAAATTCAAACGAGAGAGGACTCTACACAGGCAAACCCTGCGTCAAGCTCCTCAGCTTCTCTCGAGCCCAGGAAATACGCACAGTGTTTGTCAGCAAATGAACTTTATTCCCACCTACACGAGAAGCGGTTTGATCACGCAAATCTCAAGGATACAGACCGCCGTTTGATTTACATCGCAGATCCCGATCCTTGCGATATTCTGGCATTGACTGCAACCGCCTCAGAGCATCAGGCGAATGCATTACGCGATGTATTATGGCAATTTCTCGATCGCCGAACTTCTATCAAAGCCAGAGTGGAGCCAATGGGATACCAGGTGTTTCAACTAGACCTGCACCTTCCGTATTATGCCTTGAGGACTACACCACCGGAGAAATTTCAAAGGCACGAAAAACACCGGACACAATCAGATTGGATGGATCTGTCCCCACTCAACGATGGCGTCGCAGATGGTGTAAAGGTCATTCACCAAGCTCAGTTCTCCCTCGTAATATGCGGTACCGATAACTCACGCTGGGTTGCCTACGCCTTTGAGGCCATAAGTTTTGACCCAGATCGTGGCGATGACACAGTCTTACCAGAGTGGCGATCAGATGAGATCTCGATGGGAGAACTCGACGCAAACAACCCTTTACACGACGTTCGGGAGTACTTTCTCAACATATTCCTGATCAGGGCAAAACACGTGTATGAGGAGACTAGAGAGCTGGTACGATTTATTGCGGCATCGTATAAACGAAACGGTCAACGCCATGCGTTTTCCCTAACTCAAGGTATCAGCGAGTTTTATGTCGGATCGCAACGAACAAATGCTATGTCTGTTGCGAAACTTAATGCCCTTTATATCGCAAATTAGAAAGAGTTGGAACCGCTTCGCTCATTCCGACAAGGACATCAGTTACTTTCTATACGGAAACATGGACTACACTCCCGACACGCGCGCACGCATCAATGGCATAATCGCCTCGTTGCAGCAGATTTTTGGCGAAATAGAGGCTTTGGAGGATTCACTGCATGGTATGGAAGAAGGATGTAAAAAGCTGGCGGAACGTTTACAGTTTGATCTAACTCAACAAAGCAGCCAGTATGGGATGTTCACCATCCAGATCATCTCTCCGATAGTCATTGTGGCGGCCATATTTTCCATTCCCACTCAACTTTTCCCATACAGGCAGAGCCTTGTCTCTTTTATTGTTACATCCCTGATCGTATCTTTGTTGCTGTACTTGCTGTTACTGCTAATCGGAGCATGGCACCGACGGCAGCAGTGGTGTAGAAAGCTTTCTTTGCGAGCCAAAGCAGCATGGCACCATGGCGACTCTCTCAAGGTTGGGAATGGGATTATTATGAGAGCCATAAGAGTCATGAGAGTCATGAGAGTCATTCGACGGCGGAGTACGCATACAGATTCTGCTGGGGATGTCTGAGCGGTTTGGTAGAAGCATATGAGAAAATAGACCTGATTAGGTTGTGCTCACCGTGTTTCTTTGAGGCCGTTCAATCGAACTTGGATGCGCGTTGTGCTGCAATATGGACATCGATTATGCCCGCATCCAGGGCATCCTGCATTGGATTTTGGTATGTTTGAGGTGCCACAGCTACACTAGATTTTTCAGTCGCTTTTTTGTCTGTTAAAGGTGATTTACCTACGCATTGCCAAATAAACACCTGCCGCTTTTTTGCCTAGAAAAATTAGATAGTCATGCTCTAAACTGTTCGATTGTAACGTACGAAAGTCTTTATTACTGGCCTAACGGAAATATACCGTCTGAAATGTTATCAGGAGACTAACAGCAGCAATATTTCTTCAACAGCCTTCTACCTGTTGGTGACGTTTCTCATGCACATTGGCTATAATGGTTCAAGGTTCTCGTAGAGTCTCAGAGCAAAGATATTGGGGTGGAAATGACATACGTTGCCCCACTTTGCGCAATTCAAAACTATGCGACTGAATAAGTATGAGTTCCTAGGAAGTACGGTTACTCTAAAAGCAAGTTGTGTGAAATTGCCATGACCCGCTCACGTCAAAGTGAAACGACGTACCCGCACGAGAGGACACCTAGCCACACTCGGAATCCTGTATGTGTGTACCCTTGTAGCTGTGACTCAAGCACAAATTTGCACACAAGGGTGCCGAGATAGGCCAGTGTTTTGGTGGGAAATGCTAGCTACTTACACGTTCTAGAGCAGTGGTACCAAAGAATGCTAATTAAGCTACGCATGTATGGGTACCAAGTCGCTGTGAGGATGAAGAGCTGTTGAAATCATCAATAGTCGTAGGCATGGCCTAGCTGGTATTATGAGCATGGAGGGGTAAGCAGTGGCAAGTTTTTCCTAGCGATTTCCGAAGCCTGCAGCGCGCACGAATACACTTAGAGCACATGCAACAAGTGAAAAAAACTCAAAGGTTAGACAATGCTTAGGTGATATTCCACTAGCGTTTTATTGTGAAGGACGAAGTCTAGGGGTCGCCTCAATACACTGTTTCCTCGAACTGTACCGCAAGTTTACACACACAATCCGGCGCCATGAGATCTTTCTATGTTTTCGTTTACACTATATTAATATCCCAAGTTCAACTACATCCATAATCCCAGCTACTGTTGTGTACAAACTGTGAGAAAATTGAATCATAGCTGGCCTGTCAATGGCTCCGGGGCATTCTCTCTGGAAGCTTTAATGCCTCCCCAAGGCACTGATATGAGAGTATGGAATCTGTACGTCTAAATAGTAAAGCTAGGAGTTGATGAAAAAGTGTAAAAATAAGTGTAGCTAACGCAAAGACATTTGGGTTGCGTTGAAAAGAAAACATTACTTTTTCTGATTTAGAGTATTGAAGCACCATGGTTAAAGGCGTGGTAAACAAAAGTATCTTCTCTCTTGTTAGTTATGATTGAGGATGCTTTCCCAAGGTACTCAGTCATATCTCCAGGTTCATGCGAGTGCTACGAATTTTCTTTGCAGCATCGGCTTGATTTGCGCATGTAGCCTTTGTACTCATCTCATTGAGCTTCCGAATCTCATAATTCAGAACGCTAGTTCAAACGTTCAGTTCATGTGTTCGTTTACTAAGGCCGTGACTTTCCATATTGAGTTTGTTACTATTTTGATCTAGTTTGTTGCTCTGCACAGTCAGACGGTTGCTCTCAAGATCTAGGATACGTCCAAGCTGAGCATATAGTTATTAAAGTTGTGAATCCATTTGAGTAACCATTTGTCTTACGTGAGTTGAGAAATTCTTGGAGGAAAGATCCCAAGATACCAATCAGGCATGGAAGTCCGCAAGCTTTTCCAAATTTTCTTGGGTACTGTTCTTGATTGGCCTGAAGTATGTGATATCTAGAAAGTAACACGAATCACCGCTGGGCTCGTCAAACCTCTTTTAATGGCGAAGTGTCATCAAAATAGTGTCACGAAGTGTGCATGACGATTGCCTGGTTTGGGTATTCCAGTCCAGAGATTTGCGTAAGTCTCTTGAACCCAAGTCATGTTCGCTGTTACTTCCATTGTATGGGTCTTTCACTCTCTATCAGAAGATAAGCCTAGCCACATACCGACCAGAGACGAAAGGACACTCGCCTATGCTTTGAAGCCATTCTTAATGTTATGCAAAAGATACTGCCACTCTTTCGGCACTAAACCACAGCGAATTGCAAGGATCCGCAGCCAGTATTTTCGTGCATCCCACTCGACCATATTAGCATCCATAGCAAGATCGAGGCTATTTTCGGTTGCGAAGAAGTCTTGTCTAAAGCCGCCATCATCATCATCATCATCATCATCTTCTTCTTCTTCTTCTTCTTCTTCTTCTTCTTCTTCTTCTTCTTCTTCTTCGTCTGCGTGCTCCTCGGGTATGTTTCCAGTGTTTCCAAAAGCATACCTTGTCCATTGTGAATTACTCCATCCGCATATTACGACACTGATGTTCGCCTGTCGAATGGAGTCATCACAAGAGGCTGACCCAGAAGGTTCCAAATCCAGGAAGGACGTATCTATCGAAGCACTGTTACTCGCGCCAGTTACTGGGATTGAAGGATCGGACTTTCGTGAGATTGGGTACACCAAGTGGAACTCGAGATAGAAACTTCTGACACCAAGCATCTGTTCTGTATGAGCACGCACAAGCTCCGCTTTTTTATGTAAGACAGAAATCTTCACTAACTGGTATATGGACGCTGATTGATTTTTCCCATGGTGATGTGCTTGCATATTGCATCGCCTAATGCAATGATCTTGTGGTTCCATACTGTAACCGTCAGCGCTTGGGCAAAGTCTGGTGAGTCTTGATATATATCTACGAACAGATAAGCCATTAGTTTATTAAGAAGGTAATGTGATAGCGTCATCTCACCGATACTAATCTTCGATCTGCGTCTGGAGAATCATCAAGTCGATAGCGCTGAATTTGATCAGCTGGTGCCTGAGGTTACAAAATTGTGTATTACAGGTTTGACGAAGGCTGAACACAAGCCTGCAGTGTTTATCTTGCTTGGATATTTCGGGAACTACCGACAGAGTATCTGTGATCGTCTAACCAAGCCCTGGCTATGCTGTTACCCGAAGTTGACACTGCATCGTTCTCACTTGAGAAAACGGGTTGTATAATCTTGGCCTCCCATGAAGGAATTGAACCTTTCCAATCATGCAGAAACACGTAAACGGCATTTTCATAAAGTGAGTCATCGATATCATGCTGTTGACATTCTCTGGGCTCAACTGCATTGCAAATATCGCCGTGAGATGCATTTGCATATGGCAAAGAGACTTCTTTCGTGTCTTCATCCACTTCCGCATCATTGGAGCCTTGAGAGTCAAAGATGGTCCGACACTAATCCGAAAGTGACATATCTGCGAAACAGCGATGCTGGAAGAACACTTGCCCCCGTTGCTTCCCACTTCGTACACGCTTACTGATCCTATGACTTTTTCGTGTAGCAACGCTATTCTTTCTGAATGTCCTGTCAATATTATAGGTAAATGGCGGTTTGCCCATCAAAAATGTCCCTTGAAATTGATCTTCGACGTGTGACAGCATGCCCATGGCTGGAAGGTACATGTGATTTGAAAGAACTTCAGATAACAAATTTGCAAACCTCCCTTCCCCCCCGTAATGCTCTCCTACTGTAACAAATGTTTTGAATTAGTAAATACCTTACCTGAATGTTCAAGCGGCAGGATACAGATAAAAATACAATATACTAATTTTGATGTCGAGTACTAAGGCTACCCTCTCAAAAAGAGCTAGGTGTTTCAGTCCAGCAAGGATTCACGGAACAAGGCATGAATATATCCTTGATTATGCCATGCTCGGTTTAAGCCTTCTGCAGTGCCTATCCATCCAGCCGTACGGTTATTTGACGGCAAGTTTGGTTTGGAGGCCAGAGATACTTCACCTACAATGTGGCAGCATACATTCGATCTCAACCTAGGCATCATGCTAATAATTTCTCAGACACAGCCAAAGAAATATGCAAATCCAGCCGTATCTGCGTTACGGCTGAGGCTGACTTTGCTATGTGATTTGTTAGAACATTCTTTGAACTGGTACGTATAGTCATGTGCGATAGCCCCACTTCCTTGTGTAATTGAGAAGCTGCAAGGAGTTGGAGTCGTGGTGGTGGTGTAACAATCGTCATAGGCGAGACAAGCTCCACCCGAGAATAGTTACTCCGATGTCCAAGCTTCATTCCCCAACCTCCAACCTGCAATTGCGGCACCCAACCGTCTTGTAATAACAATATCCGCCCAAAATGTTACCCCGCACTGTGCCTATCCTCGTTCTTGCAGCCACCGCGCTCGCAGCTGCTGCACCGCAATCGTCACCCGCCATACCGACGGTCCTGGAGCCATCCGAATCCAAAGCCCTCCTCTATCTCCACCGCAAGCTTATAGAAACCGAATCGATAGGCGGCAATGAAAAAGACGTCGGCGACTGGCTCACCAAATACCTGCGCGACCACAATTGGACTGTAGAGCGACAACAGGTCTCCAGAGACCGTTATAATCTCCTTGCCTACGGCAGCAAGCGCGAGACCACCATTCTCCTCTCCTCACACATCGATGTCGTCCCACCGTACTGGCCGTACTACTACAACGAGACTACAGGTATAATAGGTGGGCGGGGCAGTGTGGACGCCAAAGGCAGTGTAGCGCCTATGATTATCGCGGCAGAGGGCATCAAGACACACCTGCAAGACGACATATCATTGCTATTTGTCGTGGGCGAGGAGACGGGTGGCGACGGCATGCGCGCCTTCAGCGACTGGTCTGAGCGACCTTCGTCGCACGAAATCATCATTTTCGGAGAGCCCACAGAGGCAAAGCTCGTCTGTGGACACAAGGGTATGCTGGGGTTTGCCGTCAGGGCAACGGGTAAGGCGGCGCACTCGGGATATCCCTGGCTGGGCGTGAGCGCAAACGACATCATGGTCGACGCGCTGGGCGAGCTGCTCAAGCTAAGGGAACATTTGCCTTGGAGCGAAAAGTACGGGAATACCACAATGAACTTTGGGCGTGTACAAGGCGGTGTCGCGGCAAATGTGGTCGCCGAAACCGCAACGGCAAACATTGCTACACGCCTCGCTGCAGGAACCCCTGAACTAGTCCGCGGACTCATCATAGACGCGCTGAAAGGAGTCAAGGAGTCCGCGCAGCAAGCAGGCGGCGACCTCGACGTCGAGTGGGGAAGCGAGGGCTACGGCGTCGTAGACATCAACTGCGACATTGAAGGCTTCGAGACAATGACGGTGAATTACGGTACCGACGTGCCGAATCTCTCCGGCGACCACAAGCGGTACTTGTACGGCCCTGGCTCCATCTTCGTCGCGCATTCAGATCACGAGGCACTTAAGCGCAAGGAGCTCGAAGAAGCCGTGCTCGACTACCGCCGTCTCATAATCAAGGCTACGGAGGTGCGCAAGCAGGAGCAGCGCGGTGAAGAAGTCATTCAAGACCAGATTGAACTGTAGTGTAAAAACGGCGAATAGCTAGCCATGTATCTATATATACCCCCAAGTCACGCAATCATAATGACAATGTATTCATTCATCTTCCACACGAGCATAATTTGGATATCATCACGGTGTTCAAATGACTACCTACCGGGCGCACGAAAAGTGTCACCAGACAAGAACCACAACAACACCCAAAGCAAAATATGTACGCCTACGTTTAGTCTGCCAGGAGAAGAATCTCACTCGAAAAAATCAGGCAGGTCTGAAAGCAGGTGTTGACGAAACCGCATGTCCCTCTTCCCAAGCTTTTCCCTCTCTCTCACACACACACACCCAGCGAGCCCCACACAGGGCCGCCAATTGAGAAGGCGAGAGGGAGAGAGAGAGAGAGAGAAGAAACTGGATAGATGGGAAACACACCGAGTCGTTTTTATTTTTTTATTCTCGCGCATGGTATCGTCTTGCGAAGGACGAGACAGAGCCAGCCAGCAATGGAGGAGGAATGCGTGGGCGTCTGTGGAAATCTGTTCGTTGCGCTGTTGAGTGTGGAGTGAGGGGACACAAAGGGGGGGGAGAAAGTAGTTTTGTGGGTTGAGGAGGGAGAGGAGCTCGGGCCGCGTGTCGATAACAGATAGCGGGATGATTATTATTATTGTTCCATTAGAGTCTAGTGAGCTCGAGGCTATGTAAGACTTTGGCCGAGGCCGTTCTAACTAGATTTATTTACAAATACGAGTTTGTGCTTGAAGTGTGTCTGTGGTGCTTCGGCCTTTGTCTAGGTAAGCGATAGCTATCGCTTACTAGACGCCTAGTGCTAAA